TGACTACCTGGGGAGTCAGGCAACACCTTGAGCTGTGTACCACAGCTCTGATGGCTGAACTGCAAGGAGACAGTTCAGCCCTGGAGGGCGAGGTATTCTGCATACTGCTGCTCAGAACAACAGCTCTGCCCTGAAGGTGTCCTGGATACCTGGAGCTATTTAGCACAGCTCTGATGGCTGGAACTGCAAAGAAGCAGCCCAACCCTGGAAGGGAAAATTTTTCTGACTTCTCGGGAGAGTCAGGCCTGGAACTACTTCAGCAGGGAAAGATATTCTGACTCGTTGGGAAAGTCAAGGTATACCTGGTGTGATGGGGTATGGTCTCCCCTGCAGGATATAGCAATCCTGCTCCTCTTCTGGAGAGCCTCTACAGCTGAGCTTTGCTCAGCCCCCACTTAAGGGGGCTTCCTAGCAGAGCTCTGCTTCTCTGGCCTAAGATATTGCTTCTTTTGCTTCACTCTGCAAAAGGGGAAAGAAACCCCTGCAGCAATGTAGCAATCTCCTCTGGCTACGGAGAAAAGTATTATTTATTATCTCTCTCTTGCTCTATCCACTGAGGGATGTTTCAGCAAAGATCTTCTGTTTAGCTCCTTTTTGCTCTGCTATTTCAGCTCTCCCTTCTTTTATCCACTGGGGTACATCTCAGCAAGGATCATCTCTATGCCAGTGAATGAAGATCTTCACACCCAAGAAACTCTTGAGAAAGAGAGTAGCTGCCTCTGCCAGGCTGGAGAGAACAGCCTTTTTTTCTAACTGACTAGGCAGGGTGGTTTTCATAGGAAGTCTTATGGGTGGAGTCAACTACTCCACCCCCGCCCGGCCAGGGGTCTACTATCCTGCTCTGTGATTGGTTGGTTTCACAAGTTCCTTGGACAGGGGCAGAGGTGGCTCTGATCTGACTGAGCCATCTTTCCCTAGTTCTGGGCTCCAGGGTCAGGGTGGGTTTCTTTAGCCAGCCCCCTTTCCCCACACTCACATTCTCGTCTCAACTTATATCCAGCAAACTTGTTGAATATTTTCCTTCAAGGAACTCTGCACAGCATTTCTCTGGAGAGGACTCTTCCCTTCAAAAACTTTTGCTCTGGGCTTTTGTCACCTACTACTATTCCTTCCCAGTTTCTTTCTGTCCACAGAGAGCTTTTGAGTCTCATTTTTGCTGGTTCCCCCTTTTAGACTTCTAAATCTAAGTCTTTAAAAAGAGATTAAGAGGCCGGGCGGTGGTGGCGCACGCCTTTAATCCCAGCACTCGGGAGGCAGAGGCAGGCGGATCTCTGTGAGTTCGAGGCCAGCCTGGGCTACCAAGTGAGTTCCAGGAAAGGCGCAAAGCTACACAGAGAAACCCTGTCTCGAAAAACCAAAAAAAAAAAAAAAAAAAAAAAAAAGAGAGATTAAGAGGCTAATATCTGTTTTGTTATTGTTTTGAGACAGCATCTTACTGTGTAGCCCAGGCTAGCCTTGAACTCACTGATTCTTCTGCCTCAGCCTCCCAAGTGCTGAGATTACAGGCATAAGCCCCTCTACTTGGCAAGGGCTCAGTCTTTTCATTTTCTTTATCTTCAGTTTCTCTAAGTGATGCAGTCTAAAACTGTAGCTTTGGTTGCTGTCTGTGTGTGTGTGTTACTCAAATTTATAATCAATTTAGGATGCTCCATTTCATACTCAGAGCTATTTTCTCATGCACCCTAATTGTCTTATATCTCAAGGTTTTCATCATTTCCTCAGTGTTACTGTCACCAGGCTTAGGGACCATCTTTGATTTCCCCTTAATTCTTTTAAATTTATTTATTTATTTATTTTTGAGACAGAATGTGGGTAATATATTGTGCACCTTAATAAAGCTTTCCTGGGTATTAGAGAACAGAATGGCACTAGATTAGACATAGAGGCCAGACAGTGGTGGCACACACACCTTTAACCCTATCACTTGGGAGGCAGAGATCTGTCTGGAGTGTCAAAAGCCACACTGGGAACAGAGCCAGGCATGGTGGCACACACCTTTAATCCCAGAGCTCATGTCTTTGCTTGGGTACGACACACACCTTTAATCCCAGAAAGTGGTGGCAGGAAGCAGAAAGGTATATAAGGTGTGAGGATAGGAACTAGAGCTTTTTTAAGCTTTTAGCTTTTAGCAGCAGTTCAGCTGAGATCCATTTGGATGAAGACTCAGAGGCTTTCCAGTTTGAGGAAACAGGATCAGTGGAGGAGTTGGTGAGGTGAGGTTGGCTGTGGCCTGTTCTTTTTCTCTGATCTTTCAGCATTCATCCCAATATCTGGCTCCGGGTTTTTTATTAATAAGACTGTTTAGCAATTTGTGTTACAACACAGTCTCTATATAGCCTTGGCTGATCTGGAGCTTGCTGTGTAGACCAAGCTGGCTTGAAACTGACAGAGATTGCTGCCTGTGCCTCCCAAGTGCTGGGATTGAAGTTGGGCACCATCACGCCTGGCACATTGACTTTAAATTGTTACTTCAGTGTTAGAGAGATTCCTTAGAAAAATAAAATGCACTGAGAATTCACAGTGTCAGGCAACATACGATGAATTGAACATTAAAGAACTAAGATGAGGGCGATAAGGAGCTACAACAGCACACTTTGTTGGATGACGCTGTAATATCTAAACCTTGTATGCAAATTTAAAACAAAATAACAACTGCAAATGATAACCTTCATCTCTGTCATTGCCTCCTTTCAGCCCGTTCTTCTGGACAGCAGCAGCATTCTTGCGGATCGCATTCTTCTCATGGACACGTTTTTCCAGATTTTGATTTATCACGGTGAGGTAAGACAATAGCATTTAAAGTTATTTATGTAAAATCTATTCACTCGGAGTAAAAAGTCTAATGTGTGGCTCATATTTAGTCCATGCTAAGCCTTGATTTATAATAAAATACAGGTTGACTAATTCAAAAATTAAAAATTCATTATACTCCAAAATCCAAATATTTTGAGTAACATAATGTTACAGATGGAAAATCCTGTTTTTTCATGTTGATAGTTATTATTTAAAATTTTTGAATAAAACCAGTTTTGTTTGTTTATTTTATTTTAAATAAATAATTGTTTATTTGTGCAGAGGTCAAAGAATAACTTGTGGGAATCAGTTCTTTCCCTCCCTTATGAGTCCCTGGCATCAAACTAAGTCATCAGGTTTGGAGGCATTTGCCTTTACCCACTGAGCCATCTTGCTGGCCCTAATGCTCAAAATTATTTAAAATGTATAGTAGTGCCTTCAGGCATAAGAAGTATTTAAGCCTAAGTGAATTTTGTATTTAGGCTTGGTACCTATCCCCCAAATATCTTAATATGAATTTACACATACCTATAGCATATACATATAAATACATGAAAGTACCTGAAATTCATAGTGCTTCTGCTCTCACGGATTTATATACAAAATACCCAACCATTACATACACAATGTGATTCTTCATGGTATAGCATTTTAGGCATCAATCATACTGAGCCTGCTTGTCTTTACTTTGTTGTTTTGTTCACACACTAGTGGACAAATGGATTTACACAAAGCACAGTACTATGAAAGTATAACCATGGACCTGTCACACTCTTGGGTTTCACCTAAAGAAATGGAGGGAAAAACTCAGCTTTTGTCAATGGGCAGACTTCCTTTTTCATTGCTAAAGGCTTTTCTACATGTTCAATATAACCTGAAAACTCATTTAAGGTGTAAATGGAAATTTACAACTTTGAAGTGCTGAGTGGTTGAAAGACCAGAGTGGATAGCTGTTCATCTTTACTTTGGGTATTTAGCAGAAGTCTATTCCTGCATTTATTCATTCAGCCAATGCTTCAGTCTATCCCCCATGTATGAAAATACTGCCACGGGCAGTTTGCAAGGTACATCCATTTTTCCTGGATCCATGCTTGAGCTTGTAGTGTAGTGTTTTATAAATTATATGGATTTATTTTTGTGGTTACCATATTTGCAAATTATTTTAGATTTTATTTATTGACAAGGATGGCTGAGTGTTGAGAAACTGTGTGATATGATAGTCCAGCCTTCCCTTGGACTCATAATTCTGTTTCAACCTCCTATGCTGGGATTACTGGTGTTAGCTGCCACACCTGGCCTTCTAATATCCTTTTAAATAGTACTATCCAGTATTTTAAGAAGGATTTAAACACTGGGATTGGTGACATGTCTTTGATCCAGCACTTGGAAGTCAGCTCTGTGAGTTTGAGGCCAATCTGGTTTACATAGCAAGTTCTAGGCCAAGAGGCTACAGGGTGAGACCCTGTCTCAAAAATTCTTAATTATATTTTTGTTTTGTATTTTTTAAGATTTGTTATTAAATGTGTGTGTTTACTCATGGGCACCCATGTACCCATGAGTGCAGGTGTTAATGGAGTTAGAGCTGGAGTTACAGGCAACTATGAACTTCCTGATGTGGGTGCTAGGATCTGAATTTGGACCCTCTGCAAAATGCTCTTAAGCACTGAACCACTTCTCCAAACACTATTTTTTGTTTTTTTGTTTATTTTTAATTGATGCCAGCTTCTAATGTACCTTATATTTTAAGAAGAATAACAGAGACAGGGTTTTTCTTTTTCTTTAATGGTAATTTTTGCTTTAAGTTTGTTAATATGAGAAGTCCAAAGTACATTAGTCTTTGAGTTGCAGAATATAAAGTTATACAGATTATACATTGACTGAGTCAGGTAACTTGGATTCCAAACCAACCTTAAAATTCTGAATTAATTAATATGGCTCTAGACTCTTTTATTTAATATAAAAGTGGATACAGTTGCCCTTCTACAATGCACTGTTTTTATAACATTATTGCTATCATTGTTTTTAGTTTATTTCTCTTATCAGAATGTAACTCTAGCAGCATGGTGGTGCATGCCTTTCATCCCAGCACTCAGGAGGCAAAGGCAGGCAGATTTCTGTGACTTTGAGGTCAGCCTGGACTACATAGCCAGTTCCAGGACTGTACAGTGAGATTCTGTCAACAACAACAACAATCAAAAGAAAAGAATGTAACTCCATTGGTGAAGACTTCTTGAAAGTCGACTTTTGAAGTGTGTAGGAATTCTCGATAGAAACCCCTCCCAGAAAAGGAAGACATATTTAGTAAATACTAATTTTATATGATAGTGTTTTAACTTTTTTTTCCTGGCATTTCTATTTCTTTTGTCTTAGGTTTTAAACACAGTATAATTTTACTTTACATTTCTTTTTGTTCCTTTTGTTTTCAGTTTTCATCCTTTGTAGCCCTGGTTGGTCTGGGACTTGGTAGATTGGCCAGGCTGGCTTCAAGCTTGTGTTGATGCTGCTGCCTCTACCTCTTCAGTGCTGGGGTTACAGGTGTGCACCATCATGCCTGCTCTGTCTTTAAACTTGTTTTTCTATTAGACTCCTTCCTTTCTTCCTTCCTTCCTTCCTTCCTTCCTTCCTTCCTTCCTTCCTTCCTTCCTTCCTTCCTTCCTTCCT